GGGCCTCAATCTGAGGGTTTTTTTTTTTTTTTTTTTTTTTTTAGCAATCCTTTAAATTTATTTATTTTTTACATTGATTCACTATACATCATTACAGCATACAAATGAATTTTCCATCCAAAATACACTGTATATTGGCTCAATCAAGCACATCAACATACATGTTATCAGCAAATAATTTTCCATTTCTTATGTCTTGTATACATTTTTTTTTTTTGCCATCCTTGATTCCCTATCCCTCACCCTCTGCCATGTCAACGTTACTTTTGAGAGCAAATAGAGTCTCTGTCCCGCTCCACCCTCATTCTTTCTGGCTAGGAGAAATTTCAATAGAATTATAGTTTTCAAAGGGGAGGGTGATTTCAGCTCTTCTCTGCTTCTGGCATGGGCCAGCTGAGGAGGCTTACAGACACTGCGGTCACTCGGGTGTACCTTCTAAACAGGAGGTGCCAACTGTGAGGGCTGCAGCCTTCACTCCTGTCCGTGCAGCCCGCTGACTCGGCAGGGCGCGTCATGGCACCCCACGGCCCCTCACCTCCCTCCTGGGGATGCAGAGCGGTGCCTACATGACCACACAGGCCAGGTGCCAGAACCCCACGTCAGCCCGCACGTCTCCACAGCAGCCGTCCAAAGACAAGAGCCTGCTGCTCCTTAAGGTTTACAAAGGACGCAGTGCAGGGCACTTCGGTGTTTTTCAGATCACAAAAGTGCCTCATTTTAAAAAGTAAAAAAGTGAACAAACACCTGGGACTTGCTTTTCAGGAAGGTCAGTGGTGTGGGGAGGGGACTCCATGTTGGGATGTCCCCGTTGCTAAGCAGCAGAGGCGCCCTGGGGAGGGGGGGATCAGAATGTTTATCGTTTCCATAGCAACCAGACACCGCAGTCAGGCAGCCAGGAGACTAGGAGAGATGGCGGAGGACGTGAAGCCTGAATGTAAGTGGACGCAGTGTCTGTGTTTGGCTGTGATGTTGGCTCGATGTTGGGTCTTCTAGAAACCCAGCTTCTCTGAGCCAGAGAGGAACATGAAAACCTGTCTGTGGCACTGTAAGTCAGCTCCAGGGCCACACGGGCTTAGGACCCGAGTCACGGGGTGTGGCCTGCTTGGAAAATCTAGTAACAGGTAGAGGAAGAGGCAGGGTGTGTGTGCGCGTGTCTGAGTGCGTTGTGAGCGTGACTCATGCACACGTGCAGTGTGCAGGGTGTGAGTGTGTGTAGAGGGTGCAGGTGTGCTCACGCTAGTACAGCTTTCTCTGGAAAGATGAGGAGGAAGGAGGAGGGAGCCGGTCCTGGCTGCTTGATGTTACTGTTCTTTTTTTTGAGATTTTTGCTATAGGGCATGTGTGCTCGCTGGAGAGACAAAGAGAGACACAGAGAGAGAAAGTGAGAAATCACCCCCTGGGGGGATGCCATGCTCCAATCCCTTCTCCTCCATTCTCCTCTCAGGATCTGGGGCATGCATGCACACGTGCTGAGTGTGTTTTAAGCTGCCGAGTCCAGGACTCAAACCACAGGTGACTACGCAGAAGTCCAGTGTTGTAACTATTATGCCATCTGCTGGTCCTGATGTTAGCATTCTTTTACATTTTCTTTGGCATGTCGCTGCCATCTGCAGGCCTCACTAAGAGACCACAGAGCACTGCTGCTATTATTAGTATTAATATTATTCCTCATGGGAGGAATTCTTCACCATCTCTTACTGTTCCCATCTTCATGCCCGGAGGTTGGGTTACTGCTCCGTCGTCACACATGGGATGGTCTCCTGTGGAACGGTGTCCTTCTGCCGGGCCTCTTCCTCTGTTCCCTTTTGGATCATGACAGTCCTGGTGCAGGACATTCATCTCATCCTCGGGTCCAGAGCGTCACGGGGGTACCTGGGAGGTTTGTGGACCACCGATCTGCAGTGCTGGGGACCAGAAGTGTGTCAGATTTCAGATTTGTTTGTTTGTTTGGATTTTAGAATATTTGCACCCGCATGGTGAGATATCCTGGGGATGAGACCCAAGTCAAACAAGAAATGCGTTTATGTTTCACGTGCACACGTAGAAACACGTGGTCTGGACGTGACTATATAAAAGATTGCTTCATTGCAGCATGTCCACTGCGGCTGTCAAAAGAGGCCACTTGTCAGATCAGTGCTCAGAAAGTTTCTTATTTTGGACTTTCAATTTTTGGATTAGGAATGTCAACCTGAATCTCTTAAAATTCTAAAATAGTATTTCTTTTTAACTTTTACTTATTAAACAAAGTTGTGACTCTTGGTCTCTTTCTGAAGGCACTAATGTGATGTGTAAAACTATTTCAGACAAACACCAGTGGGGTGACAGGGGCCTGACCAGGGGTGCCAGGTTGCCTAGCAATGTTGCCTGGGCTCAGGAAGGAGGGGAGTGTTGAGGGGAGTGTGCAAAATTATTCTCTGAGTAGTTTTGAAGGCAGAGGCAGAGCAGTGTCTGTGTAGGGGGCAGGGGGAGCCTCACAGACATGAAGGGCACCCCATGCAGGTCCTGTGTGTGTGTGTGTGTGTGTGCAGGGGTGGGCATCAGGAAGTTCTGGAAAGAGACCAAGGAGAATTTCCGTGGGCCCCTAGAGTTCCCAGAGGTGAGGGCAGTGCTGGGTAACAAGGCTGACATTAAAGACCGGTCACTTCCATCATGAAAAAGATGAATAAAAACACCCTAGGATTCAAAATTTAAATGGTAAAAAATGATTGAAATATTTATTAATTCAAATCTCATCAAAAACGATTACTATGTCTTCCTAATCAATGCACAGTCAAAAAGATGGTTCAGCTTGTCTTAAAGCAAATCTGCTTTCAGATTAACTTGTGAAAGAACTACATGTTCTAATAAACTTTCTAAGATTATTTTTCTCTCGGATAGATGGCACAAAATGCACAAAGCCATGTTTCCCATTAGGAGGCCACGGTGGACTCCACGGTGTGTGTCCTAGGAACTTGGGAGCAGGAAAGCAACCCGGGTCCTCGGGCTCGGAAGCAGACCTCCACAACCGAAGGGGAGAGTGAGGCGTGGGGAGGGGACTGTGCGGCGGACTTGCTGGTGCTGCGAGACCCTTCGGGAAATAAGGATGATATGGTGGCAACAGTGAAGTCGTCCCCTTCTCCCACTCTCCATAGCAAACTGGCCTAACGCTTCTTTACCGCTCTAAGTGCTAAAACCTTCCATGAACTGCAATGATTGCCTTGAAAAATTGTCCTATTAATATTTTATCATTTCCTAAGTGGTTTCTTTGAAGTTTTAAGCTGATCAATAGAAGTGATTCTCAAGAATCCCACTGCTCTGCTGTGGTTTGCAGAGGCGGCGACCCTGGCTCTGGGCTTGGCCAGGGGCCTGAGGGCATGGGGTGCTGAGATGGTGCCCGGCCGTGCCATGCCCTGGGTGTGCGCGCCATGCCTCAGCCAGCCCTCAAGCATGAGAAGGTGGACAGGCTGCTGCCACTGCTCCGTGTCTGGGCTGTAACACGCCTTGAGAGGGGTGGCGTGTGCGGGGGCCTCACTGAACCAGGCTGTCACAGAAGACGGAGGGGCCAGGGCTGCCAGCCCGGAGTGGAGGGGCCCACTGAGGGCACCTGGCCATCGAGCCTGGCGTCGACCACGTGGGTGGTGTTTTACCTCTTTGCCGCCGTCCAGCTCCTCTTCTCACCAAGAGGATGCGACTCGTCGAGATGGGGTTGCCCTGGGGACTGACGGCCACCACAGATGCATGGGCGTAAGTGGGCCCTTGGCTCTCAGGCTCAGGGGCCCTGTGAAGGCCTGGCCCACTGCTCACCACGGCTCTGGTACCATGGCAGGCCTCTGCTGGCCCTGGGTGAACTGCCCCTCTGCCCCTCCAGGTTCTCTGCGAAGGCCGCACAGCACACTGTGCCCTGGCAAACGGCCCTTTCCTTCGCTGGAAAATAATGCACTGAAGGAGCAGATGCAGGCGACGTGTGTCCTGGCAGGAGTGGTAGAAAGCTGGACGTGCCCTGAAGGGCCTCAGCCAAGACAGGACGGCTCGTGGAGCACCGTTCGTGCCATGGGCTTCTTTGCCAAAAGCGAGTCCCTGTGGGTGTCGCTCGCCCCTTCGGAGTGAGATGATTATCTTGAAATGCTCAGGAAGGAGCTGAGGCTCACAGAGGTTGTCTTTGAACCCACATTGCTCACAGATGAAGCTGGCCCAAAGCCAGTTTCCCACTAATTTACGTCCTGAGCCAGGTGCTCGAGGGCCCCACACTGGGACATGGGCCCTGTGAGGAAGGTGTCAGGGGCCTGTCAACGCACCCACAGGTTTTGTTCCATGGGGATGAGATCAGTTCTGGAGGGGTCTGGTCAGAGATTCCTGAGACATTTTGGTACTAAAGGAGGAAAAAAAGCACCCCCCCCCAAGAAAAAAATCCCGGGAAAAAAAAAAAACAAACAAAAATACAAGGCATGTCTTGTGAAGAATGTTAAAAAAATAAATAAAACTTTAAGCAGCATATTTTTTTTGGAGAGTTTTTTTTGCTATAGGGCGCCTACGCTCGCCAGAGAGAGACAGAGAGACAGAAAGTAAGAAATCACCCCCCAGGGGGGATGGTCATGCCGCAATCCCTTCTCCTCTCGGGATCTTGGGCACACACGCACACGCACCCAGCATGAGTTTAAGCCACCGGGTCTGGGACTCGAACCACGGTTGGCTACATAGGAGCCCAGCGACATAGCCATTACGCTAACTGCTGGTCCCTTAAGCAGCATTTTTAAGAAACATAATTAAGTTTTAAACTTTTCTTTTGGAACCCTTGCTGATATTGTAAGAAGGTCTGGCAAATGAAAGCTCACTTTCATCTTTCCTAACGGGTTTGCAGGGTCCCAGCCTCCTGAGCGCTTCACACCTGGCGTGGATCTGAACTCCCTGCCTCCAGCCACACCTGAGACCTGGGACGAGGGCTCGAACTTTCGCTCCCTTTCCTTCTCTGTAGACCCCTGTGGGTGCTGGCTGTGCCAGCCTGGCAAGTGCACATTGCTATTTCAGAGTGGCCTTAGGGGCCAGCAGGCGGTGGGGTGGTTAAGGCACTGGATTCCCGCATGTCCAACCACAGTTCAAGTCCTGAATCTGGTGGCTTGCTTTCTCACTTTCCCTAGCTCTCTGTCTCTATGTCTCTGGTGAATTTAAAAATAGTAACAATAAATACAATTAAATAAATAATTCTTTATTTTTTTTTTAAATGGCCCTTCACAACCTGTGGCCCTTTCTGAACAGCCCACTTGAAGTGGAAGCACTGCGAGACCCCGGGCGTCCGGACGCTGTGCAATCTGACGCAGCTGCTGGACAGACTGCAGGCTGACCACCGGGAAGACGTCCGCCTCTACACCTCGGGGCACCTGAACCCCAGCCGGCTCTACCGGCCTCCCGAGACCATCCTGTACCACTGGCCAGATGCCAATAGGCCTCGGGCCCAGCCGGCCCCCAGGGCGAGGAAGCCCCGGCCTGGGAAGACGGCGGAGATGAGGGATGCGCTGGCTCATTTCACCGTCCACACGGCGGTGGCCCCCGACGACGCCCAGGACACGCCGCTGTTCCGGTACTTGAACCCTCCGGCGCTCGCTCCCCGCACGTCGGAAGAGGATTTCATTCTGAAGAGGGCCCTGGAGGCACAGGCGCGCCCCGGCAACAGGAGCGCGCCGGCCCGGGCCCTCCGGAGCGGCCCCGAGAGGAGCTCAGGGTGCCGGAGATGAAGGTGCTCCGGTACCGGGAGGCCCGGTCCAGCCGCCAGTGCGCCCTGGCACCCGCGCGCGGGGACGCGGACGAGTACCGCTACGTCAGCTCCTACCTGGCCGGGGTCACCAAGGCCGACAGGTACAAGAAGTTCTTGCGTTTCCAAAAGGAAGTGGTGGCCAAGCGAGACCTCCTGAAGAACGGCTACAGCGGGAGCGAGGTCGCCGCGCGCCACGAGCGGAAGCTGGAACAGGTGAGGCGGCCACCTGCCTTCCAGGGCGCCAGGCGGGGCGGCTCCACCAAGCCGCCGGCTGACTTCGGGCGCAGCGGGGCCGCACGGTACACGCAAGGCCACGACTGAGCGTTCGAAGTCACGGGGCCGCCCCAGGTCAGAGGTTCGAACCCGGAAAGACCTGAGGAAGGCTCGCTTGCCTCGGGTGGGAGAGGCCGGGTGAGGATGGGGGCAGCCGGGCGGCACCTGCAGGCTTAGCGGGTGGCGGCGCTCCAGGAGGCCCGGGACGTGCAATTAGGAAAACACTGCCAGGATGGCACAGTTAAATTCTTCGCACTAAAGTAAACGCAGACTTTAGAATCGTTCTTCTGCTAACTTTCGGAAATCCCTTCTTACTGACCCGAGACTCAACACTCAAGTGTGAAATTGCGGGAAAGAGAAAAAGGTGAACTGACCACACCCCCGGGTCTTGGCTGAGGGGACTGATGGGAAAGAAAAGGCCTGCCAGCTGGGGCAGGGACAGGGTGCAGGGAAGGAAGACAGGGAGAGAGACGGAAGGAAAAACCTTGGGTGACAGACGAGACAAAGATTTTCAGCAGCGGAGGCGAGGGAACCGGAATCACCTGGGTTTGCCACCTGCCCCACCAAGACCGGGTGCCCTTCCTGACTCCTGAACCTGAGCAGTGCGGTTTTGAAAGGAAAATGAGGACACCTTGAAAGGGGCTGGCTCTGTTTTCCCTCTAGGAGCTCCAGAAAATCTGTACGTGCGACCCTCAGCAACTCAACAGGCTGCAGGTCTTCGGGGAGGTCTTCCAAGACATTTGCGACAGCTCTTTAGTCGTTGGGGACCTCTTGAAGGAAGTCAAGGTAACAGACAGCGTTCTGTGCAGCAGTGAGAACGAGGCAGGTGCTGGGCGCCAGGAGGGGCTCAGCCGCAGGCTCTTCCACGCATCGTGCTGCCTGGGCTGCAGACAGGGGCCCTCCGCCAGACTGAGTCACCCGCCCACCCTCACGTCCATCAGCCCTGAATCAGGGCCCAGTCAGCATGCTGTCTCCACCCAAGCTTGCTAATTGTACAAAATCTTGTATTCATTGCACATATGTGACATACAGACTTTTACAGTCATACATATGTAATAATTTTATCTGAATCCTTATAGCATTTTGTTGGGATTTTATGATGAAAGTAATCTCTATGTGGAATCTTAGTTGAAAGTAGCTTGTTTAAAGATCCTGCTGTTCCCTAATTTCCCGACTGACAAGGAATGGCGGCCAATGGGCCGATGTCAGCCTGCTGTCTGCAAAGCTCGTCTTCAGCAGGTCAGAGGACCCCAGCCACAGCCTCTGCGGGCAGATCCCCTGTCGTATGTCAGGGCAGTTGGGGATGGTCTCCTGAGGTGACAAAGGGCTGACAGTCAAATACGCTGGGAAGGTGAGCAGTTGATGAATTGTAGTGCATCTCACTGTTGGATACATCGTAGGAACGTCTTCCCTATGTTTTAAAATGCCCTGAATCGACACCCCGACTTCCATGTTGCTCAGACACAGCCAGAAAGCGTGCAGGGCCGTGCTCTCCCGACGGCCCCAGTGAGCCCCGCTGTCCTTTCTGCAGGAAGAATATGAGCTCTACATGGCGGTGCTCCTGCAGGCCCAGCCCACGGCCCAGCACCAGGTAACGGTCGCCCGCGGGCCACGTCAGTGCAGCCGTGCCACTCACGGCTTCGGGGGTCACGAGCCTTGCGAACATCCAAAACCAGAATCCTCATTCCTGCCTCCATAATTTGGGACCACCGCACTTTCACTAGAGGTGGGCTTTATCCCAGCTTACGGCATTTCTGACGGAGACCTCCTCTTCAGACAGGGCACTATTTGTACCCCACGCCACCGAACCTTCTGTCAGCCTCTCTATACGGACTTCAGAGGGCTTATGGAAAATATATTGTGAGAAAACCATTCATGGTTTTCAAGTGATTTTGCACCCAAGTAAATCATGTGTAATGTTATTGCATGAACTTTCTGAGTCCCTCTGCGTGCGTGTGTGCGTGCGTGTGTGTGTGCGTGTCGGGAGTATACGTGGTGCTGTCAGTAACCCCCGTGGTTCAGCCGATACCCTGGGAGAAGTGAAGACAGGGATGAGGGCGTGCAGTGAGCCGCAGAGGAACCCACGGTCTTCCTTTAGTTAGTGACACCCTTCCAGGCACTCCCGCTAGGACTAGGTTAAACAGGAGAAATTTCTAGAAAGAAAATATGCTAAAGGATTACTTTATCCCTTATAAAACAAAAAGAATAATACTGTAGTTAAGAGGACTTGGACACTTGAATTCCATCAAGCGTAAAATCCTAGCTTGGGAAACACGGTTCCTCACTTTGTACATGAATAAGCACACGTGTGCACACACACACACAGCATCACAGGAGGTCAGCTCCAACTTCTCAGTCCAGCTCAGGTATGGACATTGTGTTCTTTGAGCCTTTTCAAGTTGGAGAAAAATAGCTTCTGTTTTTCAGGGATAAGCAGAGGCCCCAGCTGGCGGTCCTCCCTGTTCTTCCCTTTTCTGAGGTCGGGTGTACAAACCTCCACATCTCGATCCAATGTCAGAGTGAAACTCCCAGGCCCACAGTGTGTCTGGACCCTTCTTTCTATTTCTGAAAAGCTGAAGTCTGGCGCTCCCATGGAGAACAGCATTGCTTCATATCCACCTGCAGAAACTGAAGAAATATTATCCTCACGGATTGAGAAGGAATCGTTGTGATGCTGTTAATAATAGACCCAAAGCACTTTATTCATTGTATTTTCCCCCATACAAATCAACAATGAAATGTTCCATCATTTTAAAAAACCTTCCTTAGAAAAAAGAAATGTCAAAACATTGAGCAAGGAAATTTACTTGGGCCTTCACTTGGCTAGCCATTCCCCTGCAGACGAGCAGCCCGACCTGCCATTTTGACCAGAGTGTGTTTAACTCAGGACGTGTCACCTACACAGCCACAGCGCACAGAAGTTCTCAGGCAGTCCTGTGCGATGGTCTCAGATGTCCCTCATCCTGTCCAGGCTCTTCAGGCTCAGCTCGAGGGGCTGGAGAAGAGCCCCGTGAAGACGGCCGACGTCCGCCAGGCCAAGGAGGAGCTGAGGATGCTTGTGAAGGCCATCAAGGCGGCCCTGGAGCGCAATGACAGGTGAGGTGTCACGAGCTCTGTCTGAATTACCCTCACTTCACAGCATCTCCGAACTGCGTGCTGAGCACACGTGTGCACGCTTCTTCTGCCACGGTGGGGAGCCATGGCTTTGGCTTTCCCGCTGCCTGTCGTCTAGCTTCTTCCACAGCCGTAACATGTGAGACCGGCATGTTCCAACTCACATGGTGTTTCCACCCGGGAGGTTGGAGAGGTCCTGAAGGATTCTCTTCTGATCTTTGGTGGCTCTGGAAGGCTTATTGATAGGTGAGAGGACTGACGTGTCAACATTCCTTATGTAATGCCCTTATTTCTATACCTTAAAAAACAAATCTGGTAACCTCTCTGTATAACCTTCCATGGTCAAATCACAATTAAATAGGAAATATTGTTCACAAGAACTTTTTATTAAAAGATTGACTCAAAATATCCTCAATAAAATAAAACAAGACCAACCAAACCAAACCAAACAAAATGAAAGGAGACTTGCCCGGTACAACTAGGAGACAGGAAGGTAGGGCATTTTGCTCTGATTTGGTCAGGAGTCTCTCTCACAAGAGTGGCTGGAAACTCTAGCCCTGCCCTGCGGGGCTCCAGGGCACGTGGGTGTGATGGTGCAGTGCGTGTCTGCTGGGATTTATCTGTATTCTGACCTTTAGCCCTAATATGAGGTGTCCCCTCGGAGGAACTTGCCTGTCCTCAGACGACCTGTGGCTCTTCTCGGACTGTGCTGTCCAGCTCATTCCTACCCAGACGGCCCCTCCCAGCAGAGCGCTGGCTGGGGAAGAGTGAGGTTTCAGTGTTGGTCAGGGGACGTGGGGAGGCAATGCCACAAAATGCATGAAATGGCGGAAGTTGTAAGTGATGTGTCCCAGGGAGAAGAGGGCCGAGTGCCCGCAGGGCAGGCAGGAAGGGCGGTGCCCTCTAGGGTGTGCTCACTCAGCCCGCAACTGGGAGAGAGACCCCATGGCGACAAGGCCTCTGTCCTGGTCCAGGCATTGCCCCTGGGAGTTGGAATTGGTGGGTTTACAGACACACGCCCGGGCCCTGTGGCTGAACAGGGGTCCAAGGACTCTCCTGCAAAGCCCACACAGGGCATGGGGCCAGCGGGGTGAACCGAGGTTGTGTCTAGCTGTCTCTCAGGGAGGCGGCCTCTGGGGGGTGCTTGTTTAGGACAGAGACCAGGGCCTGGGAGGAGGTGGAGAACTGAAAATGGTTGGGGTGACTAAACCCTGCTCCTATATTCAAAATGGATGCTGAGGCAACTTCAAATGATAAGAACTCCCTATAAAACAGCCGAAGCTCAAAATGACTAAAAGTGGAAAGACACACATCAAGTGCAAACGTTCACGAGAGCCAGAGAGGTGTGGTTAAGTGCAGAGAAGAAGCGTGGGCAGGGGCAGAGAAGTGCAGAGCAGGGCTGCCAGGAGGCTGAGCCGGGCACCTGAGAAAGCTAGGCAGGCGGGGACAGCCCAGCGGGGGCACTGGCCTCTGGGAAGGGACTGCAGAGGCAGCGAGGGTACAGGGCATGGTTTCAAGTGGTGACCGTCCTTCTGTGGAACTGCCCAAAGAAGGCAAAAAGAAGCAAAGAAGGGAAAACTAGAGTCCCGTAAGAGGAGACCCAGGGCACACCACCCTTCCCATGCCAGCCGTCAGATAGTATCAAAACAATAAAACTCTCGTCAACAAGTATCCTCTTGAATGAGGAGTCTCGTGCACTCCCCCGGACCACTCGGCTGGCTGAGGCTTGGGTAGGACTGTGGCGTGAAGACCTGTTAGGGTGCCCTCTCTCTGCCTGTCTTTCTCTTCCTCTCTCATGAAAGAAAGAAATATAATTAAATCTAAATAATAGCAAAAGTAAATTTATATAAAAACTAATACATAAATTTAATAAAGCTGCAGGATTAAAAAAGTCACTGAAGAAAATCAAAGCAAATGAAAACATATTTATACTGTCTGAAAAAAATCTGGACACTAAATCTCTGAATATGCATATTGAAAAGGTGATTATATTATCATTACTATTACTCCAATGAACCCCCCATTTATTAAAACTGAGGATCATAGTACCACTCTGATTCTCTGCTAAGCTTTGCTAGCATGAGCTAATGTGTGTGGAAATCTTAAATTACGAGGCCCTTGTAGACATGTGGTAGTGAGGGGTTGGTAGTGTTAACCAAATGACTGTGCATCTCTCCACATGTACAACACCAACTAGACCTCTTTTTCTTTTTAAGTTTGTTTATGTTTTCCATGAGAGGGAGAGGTCGGAGAGAGGTAGGAACTCTAAGAGGGTCTTCACACCACAATCGTCCCCCAACCTTGGTCAGTTGGGGTCATAGGCGTATACCCACATCCATGTGCCTGGTGTGTACTAGGAGATCTCAGGAGGCGAACCCAGGACCTTCCCGTTTGGCCTCAGGATCACAGAACTTTGGATGCCCAAGACTCCTTTTTCCCGTTCTCTTTAAATCTACCTGAAATAAGCTAGTCAATATATTTATTTTGGAACAAGAAGGGCTACAAAAAAGTTATGGAATTTTTTTTCATTTATTCATTTATTTTTTCTTTTAAATGCATTTATTTTACATTCATTCACTGTATGTCATCACAGCATATAAAATGCTATTTCCCATCCAGAATCCACTGCATATTGACTTAATCAAGGATATTAGATATATGTTATTGTCATTGAATAATTTTTTATTTCTTGTTTCTTATATAGTTTTGCTTTTTTATTCTTTTCCCCCTCGATTCCCTATCTCTTACCCTCTGCCTATTCCCACCCTCCTCCCACACTTTCTCTGGTATCTACAGTCACTTCCCATGCCCCTTTTCCCTTCACATTTTATTGCTTCACAAAATATCTTAATCTAAATACTTTCAATAGCAAGTTCAGTTGGTATATACATATTTCTGAAAACGTCTGGCTTTTGGCATGAAACTCAGTGAGTAGCATGAACATACTATAAAGTATCACCTAACTGAGGGTATATAGCTTACTACAGTCATTAAACAGGTATTTTTAAAAATATTTTTTAATGTCAAGAAAAGCAGTTTTAGCTTTAATAAATCAAAATAAAAAAATGTTAAGAGAAATTTGCTTAAGACTTAAAGCCAGGAAAAAGGTTAGGATTCTGTTCAAATAGTAGGTAGATGAACCTATGACAACAGCTCAAGAGAAGACAAAAAACTTTAAATCTGGAAAACAAAGTATAGAAGATAATCAGTAATGTTTTTATCAAAAGTCATAAAATTCAGTCTCATGTAATTCATCTCTCTTCTGTTGTGGTCCAGTCTTTCCGTTTTAATTCTGGAAGTTAACATTCAACTCTGGACTTGTCCTTACCATTAGGTTGGCCATTTCCTGACTGCTTTTTTATACTCTTATTTCTGGGTATCCATCTTTAGTTTTCCTGGAATAGCATTCTATTCAGAACTTCTTGGAGAGCTGGTCTGGTGGTGGTAAATTCTTTAGGTTTTATTTATCTGAGAATGTTTCTGTCTTTTCTTCCCATATGAAGGATAATCTTGCTGGGTATAGTATTCTTGGTTGCAATTGTTTTTCACTTAACATTTTGAATGTATTTTCCCATTCTTTACTTGCTCGCATTGTTTCCGATGAGAGGCCTGCTCCTAGCCTGATGGGATATCTTTTGTAAGTAACCTGACATTTCTCTCTTGCCAGTTTCAGTATCTTGTCTCTGTCTGTGGTTTTGGTCAATCTGGCTGTGATGTGCCTTGGAGAAGATCTTTTTGAATTGATTCTATTTGGGGTCCTTTGTATTTCTTGGGATTGGATATTTGAACGCCTCTCCAGGTTTGGAAAGTTTTCTTCCAGGATTTCATGGAATAGCTGATCACTGCCCTTATTAGTTTCTTTACCTTCTGAGATACCCATTATCTGGATGTTTGGTCATTTAATGGTATCTAGTACTTCTCATATATATTTCTCATTTGAGGGGGTTATTTTCTCAGTCTTTGAATTTTTTTTTTCCTTTTAAAATTGCTTGTATTGGGTTGTCGGAAAAGTCATGACATATTTTTGCATAGTAAAAATTATGTCATGACTTAGTTCAGGCATAGGAGAATTTTTGGATCATATTTGTGGGATGAGATCATGAGGCTGAGAAATGCAGTGTGGATTTGGAGTACGTGCCTCCTCCCACAGTCCATGGTGGCTTGCTTCAGACCATGAACTGCAGGTTTTTTAAAATTCCTTTTTCTTAGCAATTTGAGTCACAAATAATATCAGAAAATGGTATAGAAAATAAATTATATACATATATATATAGGTGTGTGTATGTACATATATGCATATGTATATTTTAATTTTTGCCATAAGGCACATATGTTCACCAGAGAGAGAGAGAAGGAAAGTGAGAAATTATCACCCAGCAGGCGTGACATGCCACAGTCCCTTCTTTTCCAGCCTCCTTTAGAGATTTGGGGCACACACACATACATGTGCCCTGTGTGATTTTCAGACCACCGGGTCTAGGGCTTAATCTCCTCAGCTAGTCATGTGAGATCCAGCACCTTAACCTCCATGCCACCTGGTTGCCCAAAACTAATTTATTTTTATTTAAACAATGTTTTAAAATGACTGGCTTGTTCAGTCCTGGTAAGAGCGTTTGCTGGAGTTTGGCTAGCCTGAGTGACCGGGCTGTCATTGTCAAGCATGTGCAGAGCACCTTTTGTGCTGGAAAGTAGGCAGATCAGTTTTTGGTTCTCTGTTACAGAGGGATTTGTGCTATAAAGTAGACAAAGGAGAGCAGGCAGGCGTGGGTTTCTAACACTTCACTTCTTTTTATGTTGCAAATGTAGACTCCGAGAGGAACGAGAGATGGAGCGCATGCTGCTGCAGGCCTCTAAGAAACAAGCAGGCAAGTGGCTGCGGCCTCTGGCCCCTCTGACCTGTGCTCTGCTGCCATTTTCGTGTGGAGACTCCTAGGACCCAGTCCACCAGACGTAGCCTCCTGCCATTAGTTACTCAAAGGAGTTTTCTGAGAGGTTATTCCATTTTAGTCATTAATTTTTTTCCCATTATGTTTTTTGGAAATAAGGTAAGTCTTCATCTAGTCTGAAGTGATTTCAGTGACATGCTTTAACCATGCGCGACACTCCTGATCTCGTGAGCGCCCTGGCGGGTCACCCCCCATCTTTGTTGTGTTGCTCTGGGAACCTCTGGGTGTTCAGTTGCTCTGTATCCAGACACAGTACGTGGGGCATTTCATCATCCTCTAAGACCTTCGTGGCTATTAGCGCCACATCGAGTTAATTCAGGACATCCTCTAGAGAGAATCGTGGCAAGTTTTGATCAAGACAATCAGAAGAGATTCTGAGAAAATGAACCAAACGTAGAAATTAGCTTCCACAAGGCAACGTGAAAGGACTAGACATTGCGTATCCTAGAGAAAGAATGAGTTAAAAAGGAGACGTCCCCATTTTAGAATTACACTAGTTTACTGCCATGCTTGGAGTTCTTACACTATATTTCACAGTAATATGTACTGTACATAATATTGTTAAGAATATACAATATTATTAATAATAAGAGCTGAGATATATATACCACAGTAATATTTTGTTTTTGAAATATATTCCCTGAATCAGCTGAGAAAAATGTAATTGATGAGAAGAATCTTACTCTTATTGAGAAGGTAGAGAAGAAGAGGTGTGAAATACTCAACAAATGGGATGAAATTCAAGCTCTTGTAAAACAAATTAAGACAACATTGGTTCACACTGGAGTTTCAGATATCACTGAAAACAGGATTAAAAGCATAGAGGTATGCAATTTTTTTATTTAAAAGTTTACTTTTTTCCCCCCTTCTTAAAGAGCCAGGTAAGTATGTGAATGAAGTTGATTTCATAGTAAAAATATCATAAAATTTGGTCCAAATATTTTTATTTCAGCATATTTGTAGTAAGTAATTAGACTAATTGACATCTAATTGAAATAATACAAATAGAAGATACCAAAAAATGATGTAAATCTCTTTTTTTGCGTGTGCAGAATCTGATTCAATGTAACCTTTTGATACAGAATCTCCAAGTGATATGTGATTACCTCTTTGAATAGATTGACTCTAGATCATAAAAATTTTCCTGCAAAGATTTCATATCACTAGTTGATATTACTTTAGCTATTTATCATTTATATTGGCTTCCTAATTAAAATATTAAAAGGTACAATAGAATTGTATTTAGAATAATTAATTCTATTACGTAAAAGGTTTCTGGTTCTGGATTTCAATGTATCGGTGTATACCAAATGTCTATTCACTGCACGGCAGGAGCTGAAAGACTGGAGAACATAAAGGCACGGGGATCAACTGTGGGTATTAGAGATGGTGCAGGAGGAGGGTGGGCAGTGGGGGAGGGCGAGACGGAGGGAATCAAGGGGCAAAGAAAGAAGCAAAACACGTAAGTGTCACAAAAATGGAAAATGAGGGAACCAGCAGTTAGCGTAATGGCTATGTCGCTGGATTCCCACGTAGTCAACCGTGGTTCGCGTCCCGGACCCGGTGGCTTAGAACTCATGCCGGGCGCATGTACGTGCATGCCCAGGATCCCGAGAGGAGAAGGGAGGAGAAGGGATTGCGGCATGACCATCCCCCCTGGAGGGTGATTTCTCGCTTTCTGTCTCTATGTCTCTCTCTGTCTGGTGAGCGCACACGCCCTATAGCAAAAACCTCTCAAATAAATAAATAAATAAATAAATAAATGAGAAAAAATGGAAAATGACCTGTTGCTAATAATGGGTATAATCATATCTTTAACTGGACTAACACATAGTGTTTTCATGCTGGGAAAATTTATTCTGTATGCTATAATGCTATTCAGTGTTTGAATGTAAAAGCATATAAAATAAAAAAGAAAGAAATGTATTGAGGAGTCACAGTATACTAGATGCTGCTATAAAAAATTTTAAATAGTATTTCATTTAATTCTCACAGCCCTGAGATATGTGCTATTAGCTTTCTTTTTTCTTTTTTGGTAACAAAATGAGGTGTAATGTTCTAAGCAACTTGATTGACATGACAGCAAATAATAGACTTACTATTCAGCCTTTTAAGTATACACTATCTGGCTTTACTGTTATAATCATTATATTTCACTACTAGTATTCATTATATATTCATTTTTACTATAATAATTATTATTCATTGCCCTGACATGTTGAATATCTAGATCAAGTCTTTATACCACCTGCCCATAATTATTTTGTTCACAATATTATCTTGGATATTTTTACTCACACTATTACCGAAGTTTTCAAGTACTAGTGTTAATACTCTTGGCTTTTTAATTTTATTTATAATGAAGTTTTAAATAATTTGAGAGAATGTGACAGCTTTAAAATACTAATCCTCTCATTCAGGATCAGGTCATATTTATTTATTTTTATACCTTGATCTTGAGGACTTTTCATGTTTATTTTTATGACTACTTAGGATTTTTTAATCTTGATAAATAGAAAATTAAAATATATATTATAGTTAATAATAGTTGTCACTGATATATATGCGACTTATTGATATCTATATTTCTGTATTATTTTCAGCCACCCTAAAAATTGTTATTAGTTCTGAACAGTGAGAGACCCTTCTATGCTGGAATTTTCCTAAAAAATTTTAATTGTTTTAAAACATTAACCCCACCTCTTGCAGTTTGGCCCAGAGAGTCAAGATCTTTCTTCCTTGTCATTTGTACTTCATTTTATGCTGGTTTATTCATTTGTTTTAAAAAGTGTGTGCTATTGAGTTCTTGTGAAGTTATATTAACAGTATTCACATAATAGTTTTCGTTCCATATGTAGAGAAATGTAGTTAACAAATATTAGCCAACAATCTTACTTTAAAAACCATTCTACTTCCAGAATGAAGCTATAAAATTGGAAACGGCAAACAGAATTTTAAAGAAGAAAATAAAAGTAAGTTCTTTTGTGTCACGGACGGTTGAAATCTTCTCTTGTAGCTATTTTGAACTATACACGGAATTGTCGGTACGTCGACTCTTCCCTGATACTCTGCAGGGACAGAGGACTCGCAAGCTCATGCTACTTACTTACATCTCCGCATCTGCTAATGAAGTTCGTCCTGTTTCTTTACCCCTGCTTTTCCCTGCTTCTGATAGTTATTCTTTTACTCTCCTTTCTATGAGGTCAAGTCTTTCAGCTTCCAATCATCAATAGAAGCATGTGCTGTTGGTCTCAGTGTCTAGTGCATTTCACTCATTGTCTCTTCCATGTAAATCCATGTTGCACAGCTATAAATGAATATGTTCATTTGGCCATTACATATTCTATCCACACATTGAAAAACCATAAATATGTGCAGCTAATATTTGGGTTATCTGAAAAATCATGATAGAAAAACATAAAAAACAGAAAAAATGCATCAAGACTTCTGACAACTCAATTTGTCATTTACAAAATAGAAAAATAGAAAAGGCGATAGAAAATTTTAAATGTAAGCTCTTCTAAATAAATGTTTAACAATAAGAATATTTTCTCTAGTGTTTATATCATAAATCAAATAAAAATATATGCATTTTAAAATAAATTACATTCTGTAATTCTGAATATCTGTCTATACAAGTATTAGCTTAAAACTGAGCAGGTATAAGCTAATATATTAACAGAAAAATTAAACTTCCCATTTTAATGTTTGAATGAGCCAGTCAGAAATGACCATTTTTCTAACACATCCAGACTTTATAAGTCAATGGAAGGGGTTTATTTGATGACAAAGAATACAATAAACTGGCTTCCCTAACAGTTTTCAAGGTTAACAATCTGCTGCTTAACAGATTATAGTCCTTTTATTACACGTTTCTCTGTGACAGACAATATGGAATCATATGTAACACCTGATTCTAAGAGTGGCACTCTCTCTGGGTTCGATATTGCTCCATCACACACAACCAGGCTCCTGCCACGGCACACCATGAGGTGATTTCTAACTCTCGGCAGGTTGCTGAAGGCCACGTGAAGCAGACCATGGGCAGTGGGGGAGGGCGAGACGGAGGGAATCAAGGGGCAAAGAAAGAAGCAAAACACGTAAGTGTCACAAAAATGGAAAATGAGGGAACCAGCAGTTAGCGTAATGGCTATGTCGCTGGATTCCCACGTAGTCAACCGTGGTTCGCGTCCCGGACCCGGTGGCTTAGAACTCATGCCGGGCGCATGTACGTGCATGCCCAGGATCCCGAGAGGAGAAGGGAGGAGAAGGGATTGCGGCATGACCATCCCCCCTGGAGGGTGATTTCTCGCTTTCTGTCTCTATGTCTCTCTCTGTCTGGTGAGCGCACACGCCCTATAGCAAAAACCTCTCAAATAAATAAATAAATAAATAAATAAATGAGAAAAAATGGAAAATGACCTGTTGCTAATAATGGGTATAATCATATCTTTAACTGGACTAACACATAGTGTTTTCATGCTGGGAAAATTTATTCTGTATGCTATAATGCTATTCAGTGTTTGAATGTAAAAGCATATAAAATAAAAAAGAAAGAAATGTATTGAGGAGTCACAGTATACTAGATGCTGCTATAAAAAATTTTAAATAGTATTTCATTTAATTCTCACAGCCCTGAGATATGTGCTATTAGCTTTCTTTTTTCTTTTTTGGTAACAAAATGAGGTGTAATGTTCTAAGCAACTTGATTGACATGACAGCAAATAATAGACTTACTATTCAGCCTTTTAAGTATACACTATCTGGCTTTACTGTTATAATCATTATATTTCACTACTAGTATTCATTATATATTCATTTTTACTATAATAATTATTATTCATTGCCCTGACATGTTGAATATCTAGATCAAGTCTTTATACCACCTGCCCATAATTATTTTGTTCACAATATTATCTTGGATATTTTTACTCACACTATTACCGAAGTTTTCAAGTACTAGTGTTAATACTCTTGGCTTTTTAATTTTATTTATAATGAAGTTTTAAATAATTTGAGAGAATGTGACAGCTTTAAAATACTAATCCTCTCATTCAGGATCAGGTCATATTTATTTATTTTTATACCTTGATCTTGAGGACTTTTCATGTTTATTTTTATGACTACTTAGGATTTTTTAATCTTGATAAATAGAAAATTAAAATATATATTATAGTTAATAATAGTTGTCACTGATATATATGCGACTTATTGATATCTATATTTCTGTATTATTTTCAGCCACCCTAAAAATTGTTATTAGTTCTGAACAGTGAGAGACCCTTCTATGCTGGAATTTTCCTAAAAAATTTTAATTGTTTTAAAACATTAACCCCACCTCTTGCAGTTTGGCCCAGAGAGTCAAGATCTTTCTTCCTTGTCATTTGTACTTCATTTTATGCTGGTTTATTCATTTGTTTTAAAAAGTGTGTGCTATTGAGTTCTTGTGAAGTTATATTAACAGTATTCACATAATAGTTTTCGTTCCATATGTAGAGAAATGTAGTTAACAAATATTAGCCAACAATCTTACTTTAAAAACCATTCTACTTCCAGAATGAAGCTATAAAATTGGAAACGGCAAACAGAATTTTAAAGAAGAAAATAAAAGTAAGTTCTTTTGTGTCACGGACGGTTGAAATCTTCTCTTGTAGCTATTTTGAACTATACACGGAATTGTCGGTACGTCGACTCTTCCCTGATACTCTGCAGGGACAGAGGACTCGCAAGCTCATGCTACTTACTTACATCTCCGCATCTGCTAATGAAGTTCGTCCTGTTTCTTTACCCCTGCTTTTCCCTGCTTCTGATAGTTATTCTTTTACTCTCCTTTCTATGAGGTCAAGTCTTTCAGCTTCCAATCATCAATAGAAGCATGTGCTGTTGGTCTCAGTGTCTAGTGCATTTCACTCATTGTCTCTTCCATGTAAATCCATGTTGCACAGCTATAAATGAATATGTTCATTTGGCCATTACATATTCTATCCACACATTGAAAAACCATAAATATGTGCAGCTAATATTTGGGTTATCTGAAAAATCATGATAGAAAAACATAAAAAACAGAAAAAATGCATCAAGACTTCTGACAACTCAATTTGTCATTTACAAAATAGAAAAATAGAAAAGGCGATAGAAAATTTTAAATGTAAGCTCTTCTAAATAAATGTTTAACAATAAGAATATTTTCTCTAGTGTTTATATCATAAATCAAATAAAAATATATGCATTTTAAAATAAATTACATTCTGTAATTCTGAATATCTGTCTATACAAGTATTAGCTTAAAACTGAGCAGGTATAAGCTAATATATTAACAGAAAAATTAAACTTCCCATTTTAATGTTTGAATGAGCCAGTCAGAAATGACCATTTTTCTAACACATCCAGACTTTATAAGTCAATGGAAGGGGTTTATTTGATGACAAAGAATACAATAAACTGGCTTCCCTAACAGTTTTCAAGGTTAACAATCTGCTGCTTAACAGATTATAGTCCTTTTATTACACGTTTCTCTGTGACAGACAATATGGAATCATATGTAACACCTGATTCTAAGAGTGGCACTCTCTCTGGGTTCGATATTGCTCCATCACACACAACCAGGCTCCTGCCACGGCACACCATGAGGTGATTTCTAACTCTCGGCAGGTTGCTGAAGGCCACGTGAAGCAGACCATCAAAAAGAACAAGATCGGCGACGAAGAGCAGCAGTAAGTACTGCTACCGCGGCAAAGAACTCGAGTAGAAGGTGCCGTTCCGGAGCCGTGCACTCAGAACTCGAGGAGCCTGGGCAGCCTTTCAAGTGGTCACATTCATGAGCATGGCGCTTTAGACACTTGCTGCGTCTTTCTGTGTTCAGGGATGCGTAGTCCAAGAGTTAAATCTCTACAAGCAATATTTAACCATACAGATATGTTTATGATAGAATACACGTGTTATATAACTATAATATATATTCCATACTATGGAAATAAAGCCATTTGAAAAAGCTTTAGCATTGGATGTGAACCCTCAAGGGCAGGGGTTAGGAAAGTGGGGAGACAGGCAGCTGGGGTGACTTTATGCTCTCAAATTGTATAGCTTTTAGTAATAGGAAGTCTTTAAAAAGTCTTTACACATTTATTACTCTGAGTACTTTAGCTTAAAAAGCAGATGGCCATTTGATATGATCTGAAGTATGCTATTACTTTAACTAGTTCCTTTGCTTAGAATTAGTGTGATCAGGACAACAGAAAATCTATGGTGGGCTAAGTATGGAAGGCTTGTTCGTTTCAATAGTGAGAAGACTCTGAGGTGTTACAGCCTAGGCTCCATGACACCGAGGAACCAAGGTCCTTCGACCTCCCGCACCTCAGTTTTTCTCTGAGAGTGGAGTTCCTCCTTAGGGGTTTCATATGGCTGTCTTCAGGCCTCACACTGGGAAGGGGAGGCTGAGAGCCATGGCAGAGGGCTTTGTGTGTCGAGGCTTTCCTAGGGACTCCCACCCGCATCTCTTTGGCCAGCACCATGTCCCTAATGCCTCTTTAGCTGCCAGGGAGGCCAGAACAATAGAATATTCCTTAGGGTAAATGCGTGAGAATGGGTGCTGAGTGAGCCGTTCAGGGGGATCCGGGATTTAGCTGTTTGTATCCTTAAAGGAAAATGTGCACTGCCAACGGCAAATTGGGAGGGCTCCTTCCATAGCCTTGCTGGGAGAGCGAATGGTCTGAAGCGGAAGCCTCATTTTCCTCCTGGGAAATGGCCTTTGCTGCCACACTGTGCCTGGCCTGGGAAGTGCTGCACCCGCACTTAGGGTACGAGCTGAGTGACGTCACACTTTAACAGTTCCTGTGCTTAGAGTTACTGCGGTCAGGACAACAGAAAGCCTACGGTGGTTTAAGACGGGAAGGCTTCATGTAGACATAGAACCATACAGACATACTGATGATATAATACACGTATCATATTATGTAAGTCTAATATATATTTCCTACTATAGAATAATACTTAGAGAATCTCTGTATTTCAAGGCCATTCAACTACTCAAAATATTCTTTTAAAAAAGGAGATGTTTGCCAAGTTTTGTTTTATTTGTTTTTTTGGGTAAATGTGTCCTAAAGTTGATGTTTATTTTGAAGTATTATTTTATGCTTAGTGTATTGTTTCTAATGTGTTTGCTTATTATGTATTTTAAGGGAGCTTTGGGAATTTATTAAGAAGTCTGTAAAATTAGAAGATACAGAAAATAACGCTGGAGTTGACTGCGAATGCGACCCGGGAGAGCTTAGCACTGCGTGTACCTAGCATGGATGTCCACACAGCTGGAAGTTAGCAAGTTTATGCCTCATTTTGTTGGCTTTAACCTTTAGTAAAATTGATGTGTGTATGTATCCTACTAAGATACTAAAATAAATACAAATACACTTATAATTAGTTTTTCTTTTGTATACATACTTGTGAAAATACTGTTTGTTTTATGCTTTTATTTAACAACTTTCACTGGGCAAAATATATTTTTTTCTTTTTTTTTTTTTTTGAGAGATTTTTTGCTACAGGGCGTGTGCACTCGCCAGAAAGACAGAGACAGACAGAGAGACAGAAAGCGAGAAATCACCCCCCAGGGTGGATGGCCATGCCACAATCCCTTCTCTTCCATTCTCCTCTCGGGATCTTGGGTATGCACATACACACGCCCGGCATGAGTTTAAGCCTCTGGGTCCTGGACTCGAACCGCGGTCAACTACATGGGAGTCCAGCAACATAGCCATTACGCCAACTGCTGGTCCTGGAAAACATATATAATTTTAAAAAAGTTATGCGCAGGTTTCAAAAATTTTAGAAGCTGAGTAAACTTACAGTAACTGGTTATAACATATCTGAACGGAATCGAATTTGAGGCACTAAGAAGGACAAGGCATCAGGCTGAAAAGGCCCCACGGAAGCAGCGTGAATTCTGCTAAAATGGAAGACAGAGCAAACCTCACCTTTACCTGAAGCCTGGAGAACAGATTCATGAAACAGTCAGCACTTTACAAAAAGCATATGAGGGCAATGCCCCAAAGAAATCCACATCTTACAGATGGATAATTTGAATTAAGAAGGGATTAGGTGATGATGAAGGTAACTCGGCAGGTGCAGACCCCCCTGTCAATCCAGGAGAAAGAAGGAACCTTTTCAGTGCCTGAATGATGCCTGACAGAGATCAGCTAATACCATAGATATCTCGGTGAGTTCAGCTTACCCCATGCTGGCTCAAACCCTGGTGAGCAAACTTGTTTCATGCGTTGCCCCAGGTCGACTGCAGACAAGAGCAGTTTCAGTGGGAATACTGAGCAAGTGGGATCAAGATCCGCCTTTCTTCAAAGAGCTAGAACAGGAGATGACTCATGGCTTTCCCAGTGTGACTCTGAAGACAGAGCACGGTCAGAGCAAGGGCCCCCAAGAGGCGGCAGGGAGTGGTCCATCAAAGCGAATGGACCGGGTCGGGAGCGAGGTCACGACAGCTGCTTCAGGGCTGCGCAAGGCGTTTTTGCTTTCTTTCTGAAGGGCCAGAGAACGAAGGCATCTACCCATGAGAGTGTTTTAGGAAAGCTAGCTGAGGCTTTAGCAGGAGAATTCCGGGGACAACTTCCCCACAGGGCCAGACATGCCGGTCTCGTTACTGTCCTCACAAAAGAGCTGTCCTGTGGGTTCCTACGGGAAATCTCGGCGGCCGCCTTCCAGCTCGACTTCACGTCTGCTGACTTCTTTCTGTTTCTAACCTTAAATGCATCCTGAAAGGTACCTCTTTTATTAGCCTGAGGGACTGCATTACTGTGGGTAACCTTCCAGGGGCCTCATCTATTTAGGGGGAGCTAAATGCCTGGCATTCACCGTTTAAAGAAGAGCCCTGAACTCATGGGGTGTAATTTTTCTTTCAATCATTTTTTCTTTTTTTTTTTGAAGAGATTTTTGCTATAGGCGCGTGAGCTCGCCAGAAAGACAGAGAGAGTCAGAGAGATAGAAAGCGAGAAATCACCCCCGGGGGGATGGCCACGCCGCAATCCCTTCTCCTCCATTCTCCTCTTGGGATCTTGGGCACGTATGCACATGCACCTGGCGTGAGTTTAAGCTGCTGGGTCCGGGACTTGAACCACGGTTGACTACATAGGAGTCCAGTGACATAGCCATTACACTAACTGCTGGTCCCTAATCATTTTTTTTTTAACGAATCATTTTATTTAACTTTATTTATTTTAATTTGATCAGAGAGGAAGAGAGAGAGCGAGAGCAAGCCTCCACGTCCAGGACTCGAACCATGGTCAGCCATGTGAAAGTCCAGCACCCCTAACCACCATGACACCTCCAGGTCCCCCTTTTAATCTTTTAATCCAATTTCCACAAATTCTGTGAAGTCCCCTGTGTGTGCACACATGCACTAGGTCCATTTACAAGTGACCCAGGTAGCGCCCACGTCAGTAGCCATGGCACTCTCAAGGTGTGGCACTGCGCATGTCTCAGCTGGTCAGCAGGGCGGGAGCCTCACGGCACCCCTGTGATCGGAAGTCTTTCATCCCCACTTTGCCTAGCATCCAGCCTAAGCGTCCCAGGGAAATGCAAGTTCAACCCCGTGGCACAGCCACTGTATGGGGCTGTTTTGAAGATGAAGTGTAAGTGCTGAAGTGAAAATAGGGATTCCATCCCAACTTTGAAAAGTAGAGTTCTAGATTACGAAAGACAGAGTGAGAGCGAGAGATGGAGAAGGGGGAGACACACACAGGTTGTAATGGCAAGAAGGCAGCAGAGGCATGAGCAGGGGAGGGCAGCCTGGGAGCTAACCCCAGGCTCTGTGAGGTGGCCAGTGGCCACTAGAATGAGCCCCATCTCAGCTGTGTTGAGATTGGGCTGCAGAAGGCAACAGGGTTCTGTGCCCGCTTGGACTGGCTGTGCGCCCAGGGACTAAGGCATGCAGTAGCCTAGGTCCTGCTAGGAAGGCAGTGCAGTTTGTAAACATGAAAATAAAGAACGTCTCCAGTCAGGCTTTAACTAAGATTACCTACCCCGGGTGGTGGGCCTCGTCTAGGCAGTCAAGGTTTCCCTGAGAACAAGACACTCCACAGCAATGTGGGAAAGCCACGCCTGCTGCATTTCCTGCCTGTTAACACCCTGCATTAGCCTGGCCAGCCCCACCTGGCAACCAGCCTCTACTTAAAGTACTTCGTCATCTAGTGCTACATCTATGCTTTCTAATGATGTGCTCTCTGACGTGTGCATGAGCTTCCCATGGTCCTTTCTAATGATGTGCTCTCTGACGTGTGCATGAGCTTCTCATGGTCCTATCTAATGATGTGCTCTCTGACGTGTGCATGAGCTTCCCATGGTCCTATCTAATGATGTGCTCTCTGACGTGTGCATGAGCTTCCCATGGTCCTATCTAATGATGTGCTCTCTGACGTGTGCATGAGCTTCCCATGGTCCTATCTAATGATGTGCTCTCTGACGTGTGCATGAGCTTCCCATGGTCCTTTCTAATGATGTGCTCTCTGACGTGTGCATGAGCTTCCCATGGTCCTTTCTAATGATGTGCTCTCTGACGTGTGCATAAACTTCCCATGGTTCTTTCTAATGATGTGCTGACGTGTGCATAAACTTCCCATGGTCCTTTCTAATGATGTGCTGACGTGTGCATGAGCTTCCCATGGTCCTTTCTAATGATGTGCTCTCTGATGTGTGCATAAGCTTCTCATGGTTCTTTTCTTGGCAAAGCCTTTAATGACCCAGGCCCTAGGACAGAAGCCTTCCACCTAGGGACACAGGTAAGAGGGTTTTCCAGGAATCTAGGCAAGAGCTGGTGCTGTCTTGAAGCAGGCAGGAACCTGAGCTGAAGAGAGAAACCGCCACTTGGCAGTAACAGCAGGGGAGGGAGGGAGGTGCAGGGAAGAAGGGAGGGAAGGTGGACGCAGCAGGGAAGACCAAAGGAACAGGGTGAGGGTGAGAAGAAAGTCTGCAGGGGCCAGCCTGGAGGAAGAGGTGGCAGTGGGAGGGGAGAGGAGACGGATGTGGAGGTGACAGGCTGAGGAAGACTTGAAGGGAGCAGATACAACTTTCTGCTGTTTGCACACGAGGCAGCTTTATGTGTGAGGAACCAGGGGCCAGAGGGCCTTTAGGCTGACCACAAGAACCATGGCATACTATTGAGGCATTGATACTGGGTATCTGGACAGAGTGGGGCTAGGAGGGAATCATGGGTTTTTATTTAATCTCTCACGTGTGCATGAGCTTCTCATGGTCCTTTCTAATGATGTGCTCTCTGATGTGTGCATAAGCTTCTCATGGTTCTTTTCTTGGCAAAGCCTTTAATGACCCAGGCCCTAGGACAGAAGCCTTCCACCTAGGGACACAGGTAAGAGGGTTTTCCAGGAATCTAGGCAAGAGCTGGTGCTGTCTTGAAGCAGGCAGGAACCTGAGCTGAAGAGAGAAACCGCCACTTGGCAGTAACAGCAGGGGAGGGAGGGAGGTGCAGGGAAGAAGGGAGGGAAGGTGGACGCAGCAGGGAAGACCAAAGGAACAGGGTGAGGGTGAGAAGAAAGTCTGCAGGGGCCAGCCTGGAGGAAGAGGTGGCAGTGGGAGGGGAGAGGAGACGGATGTGGAGGTGACAGGCTGAGGAAGACTTGAAGGGAGCAGATACAACTTTCTGCTGTTTGCACACGAGGCAGCTTTATGTGTGAGGAACCAGGGGCCAGAGGGCCTTTAGGCTGACCACAAGAACCATGGCATACTATTGAGGCATTGATACTGGGTATCTGGACAGAGTGGGGCTAGGAGGGAATCATGGGTTTTTATTTAACTTGTTAAGATTCTTACTGGTGTTTTAAAATTAAATTATACCTCAATGTTTTTATTGAATTTTTTCTTTGCTCGTTATCAAGATTGATCATCTTAAAATACTGTTAGACTCATTTAAAAGCACACTTTATATATCCAAAATATATATTTAAAAACCCATAAGTCATTTGAAAATGCCTTGCTATTGGGCCATCCAGGTGGCATAGTGGTTAAGGTGGCTGGACCCCACATGGCTGACCGTGGTTTGAGTCCTGGGCCTGATAGCTTGGAAAACATGGCAGGCACGTGTGCACAAATGCCCAAAATCCCAAGAGGAAAATGGAGAAGGGATTGTCACATGGCCACCCCTAGTCACTTTCTCTCTCTATCCCTCACTCTCTCTCCTGTGAGTGTACAAATTTTAAAAAGAAGAAGAAAACTTTGCTATTAGTGAGAACTCTTTCATTGTAGTGGTAATCTCAGAGGTTCACACTTGCATGTACCAGTTGTCTCTTTTATCTGTACGATGGGAATCCGACCTTTGTATCCATGTGATTTAAAATGTCATGAAAAGAGCATTGATAAAGCTTAAGAC